ATTACTAGTAGGTTATACAAATTTAAAGATATGACATATTGAAAAATTATATAATAAGTTTATACAAAATTAGATCTCAGTATTACATATATTCTTCGGGGTCCTAGATGACCCCCTTTTGCCAACTAGATCTTGCCGTTTCTTCTCCTCACGCAGTACTTACTTATGTGCCAGTACTAGGCTTATTCCACGCAGCTTACGGGTCCCTCGAAATCAACTTCAACTTGTCAGCAATGGGTCTTTAACGCTCTCTTCCTTTAACGGGTTCATCGAGAGTTTATGGCGTGGTTCGTTAGTTTCTTCAGCCAAATTTTCCAGCCGGTACGTTGGCTTCCGTGCTTTGGACTCAGTACATCGGTCCAAGCAAGTACAAATTCTTTATGGCACTGGTTCGTTATTGCCTTTGCTGATTCAACTTCTTTTCTTTTCGAATCTCACGGTTCACCACCAAAATGAGAGGACTGAAGTCGGTCGGTCAATGCTTCGCAGCAATCAGGTCACTGACCGACAGAATCGTGAAGACAAGATGCGAAAGAGACGTGTTAGATTTGGACGAGTGGTTAATAAAGGAATGTATGTAGTTGGTAGGGCATGTTTATGTGACTTAGGTACTTTATTATTTAGGTCAAATGGGAACTAACTATCTCTTCAAAGGGCCAGAAGGCCTTTATTTATAATTAGCTCACTATCTATTTTTACATACAGAATACGCTATTTTCCCAGAATTATGCTTATTACTGTAATTATTGTAATTCTTCTTATTCCCATTTTTTGCCTAATTCTGAAAATTCACCGAATTTCCCTAATTCTCGTAATTCCAGGAATTCCTGGGTAAACCCCAATTTGGAATGCCCGAGTCACGAGGCCACATGCCTATGGTCAGGTCACGTTTCTGGTCTCACACCGTATTCGAACAGTTCAATCGACTCATTCGCAGTTATCCGCATTTATTGTGTATGGATGATCGTTTATTCAGTTATTTTAGAACAGCTTGAATAGATTGAATTGAAAATCAAGTGTATTTTAGCATATTACATAAAGTTTATATTTTTATTTGTTTACATTAATAACTATTACATAATGCACAAAATTAGTGCAACAAAACATTCATTATTCAATTAACCAACTTGAACATTGATAATCTCTTTCAATTAAAGAACGTTAATTGTTCTAATAATCAATTAACTAACTGAAACGTATAAAATTTTTATAAAAAAAAAAATAACAATGAATCAAAATGCCGAAGAACTTTATCAACTTGGACAAAAATATATAGATGGTTTTTATATTGGAATTGATAGAAAAAAAGCCTTTGAGTATTTTAGAAAGGCTGCTGATTTGGGTCATTTATGTGCTTTAGGTAAATGTTATTGATTCGGAATCGGAGTTGAAAAAGGTGAACAAATGACATTCGAATACTATCAAAAAGCTGCTAATATGAATGATACTATAGGAATAGATAATATTGGAAAATGTTATCGATATGGAATTGGAGTCAAAAAAGATGATTAAAAAGCATTCGAATATTATCAAAAAAGTGCTAATATGGGGTATGTTCGTGGAATATTGAAAGTTGGAGAATGTTATCAATATGGAATTGGAGTTGTAAAGGATGAACAAAAAACATTTGAATATTTTCAAAAAGCTGCAAACATGGGTGATGCTAGAGGAATAATTGATGTTGGATATTGTTATCAAAATGGAATTGGAGTTAAAAAGAATGAAAATAAAGCATTCGAATATTATAAAAAATCAGCAGAAATATTGGAACACATAATGTTGGAAAATGTTATGAAAATGGATGGGGAGTCAAAAAAGATGATCATAAGGCATTCAAATACTATAAAAAATCAGCAGAGATGGGATATCCTGATGGAATGTATGATGTTGGTGAATATTACCAAAAAGGAGTTGTTGTTGAAAAGGATATAGATATTGCTTTCGAATGGTATTTAAAATCTGCTATCACTGAACAAGCTAATACTACTAGCAAAAAACAAGAATTTTTTCATTGGATGGCATATGATAAATTTGAAAATATCGAAGAAATAGGTAAAGGAGCATTTTCTACAGTTTTTAGAGCAAAATATTTAAAACAATATGGGTCATATGAAGAAGTAGCAATCAAGATCATAAAAGATTCTAATAAGAATAAAGAACCATTCTTAAAAGAGGTATTTTTTAATATTTATTTTTATTTAAATAATTTTAAATATAATGATTTATTTTGTTTTTTTTTAGTTAAAAGATTGTCATAGCTTAGAACAATATCTAGAAATATCAAGGGATGAAAAAACGGATGATTATATTTTAGTAACGAGTTATGCAAAATATGGTTCATTAAGCAAAAATCTTGCTGATATCTTTAAGTTTGAATGGAAAATTAAATTAAAGATACTTCATGATATTATATCTAATCTTAATCGTATTCATGATAAAAGATATTTACATCGAGATTTACATCCGGGAAATATCTTGTTAAAAGAAGATTACGAAGCATATATTACTGATCTAGGTTTATCAAAACCACTTGATGAGAAAGAACATGAAGACCATATTCATGGTGTCTTGCCTTACATCGCTCCAGAACTATTTCAAAGAAAACTGTACACTCAAGTGGCTGATATTTATTCATTTGGAGTCATCATGGTAGAAATGACACCTGGACAGAGACCTTTTAATATCATAAATTTGATATAGGTATTGCGATTAAGATTTGTGGAGGATTGCGACCAAAATTTGGAATTGGAACTCCTAATTATTATGTTGAATTGACAAATCGATGTATAGATTCAGATCCAAAAAAACGGCCAACTACTAATGAAATTATTACTATATTAAATGAATGTTTGAAAATTTTGAATAAAAATGAATGTGGCAATGAATGCTTGAAACGGTCGAATGCTTTGAAACGACAGTCGAGAACTTTGAATAAAAATGAATGTGACAATGAATGGTTGAAACGGTCGAAAATTTTGAAAGAAAAAGAAATTAAAAAGCAGTTTTTAGAAAGTGATAAGATTAACAAAAATTTTACAATAATTAAAGAAGAACTAAAAAATAGATACACTAGCAAACCATTTAACACATTGGATATTAGTGAAAGATTATCAAAATTAAATGGTAGTAAATCTGTTGTTATAGAAGTTTCAAATGATCTTTAACAAATATTTGTTTTTGTTCTTTTGTCAACCATTTTTTAAGCATTTATAGGATAAGTTATAGGATAAATATTTGCGTAGCACCCTGCGATGTGCTAATTCATTGCATGTATATTTAATTATTATGTTTTGTAGATCCGTGTAATGAATATTTTTGTAGTATACAAATATTAATACTCGATTAGAGTTAGGATTAGGGTTAGCAATTAGGATAGGGCTTAGCATATACCAAAATTTTGTAAGGAATTTTTTTTTGTTTAATCGAAATTTTGATGGTTTGTTTTCACGTTACACCTGATCCTGTGAACATAGCGGGCTTTCATAGTGATTGGCCAATTTTTGTAGATCATCTCGTGATATTATAAAAAATTTTATTGGCTGATCGAAAATTAATAAAAATATTGAAACAGAATAAAAAAAAGATTAATATATAGAAAATAATTATATCCGTGATCAAGTTAATACTAGCAGAAGTCTTTACCATGAAATCTCGATAATTTAAACTAAAATTATAATCTTATCATAAACAAAACCGGACAAAATCAGACAAAACTAAACTAATTAATTCTATTTAACAACCATTACAAGGTTTCTTTAACTCTTCTCATGAAATCTATTAGTCTTATAGCACTCGGCTTCATATTATTAGCCTATATTATAGTCAGGTTTCTTTATTAGTTGAGATTGCAAAAAATAAGTTTTCACAAATAAAAGACGGCTTAAATTGTTGAGTTTGACTAATTTATTATACCTATAGGCTAAATTTAAACGTTCAAACATACTTCTCATCTAACTTCCGAATTACTTCGTGGATTACCAAATTACTTTGACAGTTTATAGACCAGGGGGTACTCTCTCGTTTTTATTTGGTATCGAGTCTGGACAATTCGTCTCCGTGGCTGCCAAACCAATTTTGTAACTGCAAAACGTTACCGTTACGCCACTATGTGAAACATATTATGTAACATTTTGTGTCGATCATCCAATCAAGTAAAGCCCGCTATGTTGATCCTGTGTCATAATTGGTTGAAGCCACGTGTCCGCGGAATTACTAGCATAGCGAACTTTTATTGTGATTGGTTAGATTTTGTTGATCATCTCGTGATTTTATTGGCCGATCGACCAATCA